TCGATCAACGTTCTGGGAGGGAAGGGTGTTTGCTGTTGTGGTGGTGCATGTTTTACGGGGCAGGGGTTTCTGCCCATACCTCTAGCTGCAATTCTGGCCGCCATCCTGCCCAGCTCACTGGCATCACTGGTTGTCAGGGGCTGGGTGGGAGCGTCCTGCTCAGCTCCTGACAACCAATGATGTCGGTGAGCTGGGCGGGTTTCCGGCCAGAGCAGCACAGATTGTTAAGAGCTCAGCAACCTGGGATGCTCTGGCTGGATAGGGGGTGGCAGGCACAAAAGCCACCCCCCCATGTGACTCTGTGAGATGCCACCTGAGGAAATCGCCCCAGCCGGCTTCATTATAGGGATGGACCTGCCTCTGACTACTGGTTTCTAGAGATTTGGCGCAAGATCTGGTGATGTCACTAATGTGCGGATCACCGTTCTCCTTGCTGGAGGCTCTGACATGGGGAAGCAAAGCCCTGCCTCTACCAAGATGGCCGTCTCCACATAGAAACACGGTGCAGAACAAGGCATGGTAAGCCGGTCATGGGGGAAAAGATCAGCTGCAGGAAGACCACGGGCAACACTGGTGATTAGCCGTCTACTTCCCCTCTTTGGGCACAGCTCCCAGAATGTAGTTCCTCTTTAAGATGGAGGGGTTTGCGCATTAGGAGGGGGGTTGTGGGGTGACCCGCTATTGACAATATTCATCATGTATAAGGTTTGGTCATACACACAGCATGAAGAATCAGAGGGGAGGATTAGACAAAAAAGAAGAGTCTTCCTTTGGTGAAGAAATCTTAAAGGAGAACTATGGGGAAAAGCCTTAAACCCATAGTTCTCCTTTAAGCTGGTTGACTTATAACATTCGAACAAAAGAAAAGATCTGAATCGCCTGTGGCGACCAATCAGGTGCAACTTTCTCTTCTTTTTTTTTTAGGATCTTGCTCCAACCATCCCGCAGACGCATTTTCCTCCAAATCAGCCTATGACTGGTCATGTCCATAGAGCGCAGTGTCCACCAACCCATGCCAACCAATCAGAATTCATCTCATTGGCTTCTATGAGTTCTTTGCAGCTCATCATTGCTCTTTGCGTCACGTCATTGAATAAGCCACTGGATTGACTTGCATCAAGCCAAACATAAGCAGGGTAAGACAATGGCGGATGACAAGGTAGGGAAGGTGCAGGCAGTCCAATAAACAGAAGGAGAAGGAAGTTTGACATACGGAAACATCACACGGGAAGGGGGCGAGACACAGGACAGCACGGCACAACACACGCATGCACGGACAATATGGGTTTGGGAGCCTGCAGGCCACACATAGGCAGACTTACGTGACGAGTCCGTCCGACGGACTACGGGGAGAGAGAGCAGCATGTTAGTGGGAAGAGCAAAGAGACAGCCGGTTAGATGGGTTCATTAGTAATGATATAAGATAGAGCAGGTGGTGCGCATATTACTGCTGCAAAATGTAAAACTGCCCTGACGGGAAATGGTCACTTTTCAGCGTCTTTAGCCAGGCACAAGTCCATGAAAGTGTATCTAAAGGCAAAACATTTTACGCAAATTTGAGCATAGTAGGGAATGGTTAAAAACCCCTTTCAGCTGTGCCATTGAAGAGATTTACATTCACTTCCTGTCCCGTAGGCACAACAGGAAGCGAGAGAGAATCTCTCCAAAGTGAGGAAATTCTTAGTTGTCACCAGAACAGATGCCCCTCATTGGAATGTACTTTATTTTTGTATTCCTCCTAAGTTCAGTGTTTGGCCGCTGGAGGCTCTATTCCTCCTGGTGACCATTTTCCCTGAAAGTGATGAGAAATCCAACATTTTGAGTTGTCAATGGAACAGGAAGTACAAGGAAATCTTCCAATGGGGAGATCTATTCCTGTGAAGACCAAGAGAGAATTTCCCTCACTTCCTGTTGTGTCTATGGGACAGGGAGTGAAGGGAAATATCTCCAGAGAGCCAAAAAATAACCTAAAGGGGTTTTAACTTTTAACCCTTTCTTGCTCTATCAAGGGCCCATTTACATCTTTGCAGAGTGCTAACACGTGTTACGTTGCAGCATTAATGCGCATTGTGTTAAAACAGCCCACGTAAAATGAATAGGATGCCGACGCACCCTAATGTCCATTGTACATTATTATTATTATTATTAGTGATGCACCGATACTAGTATCAGTATTGGTGCCGATACCGAGTATTTGGGCGAGTACTCTTACTCGCCCAAATGATCCGATGCCTAGCCTGATACCCGAACCTCAGGTATCAGGAAGCCTTTACAGCAAGTCATTACATGCCGCTCGGTTTCCTGATTGGCTGGGAAGCCGGCTTCATGCTCCCTCATGCCTGGTGACGAGGGAGCACGGAGAAGGCTTTCCAGCCAATCAGGAAGCCGGGCACCGTGTAATGACTCGCTGCCCGGCTCCCTGATTGGTTGAGAAGCTGGGTTGCCATTCAAAAGAAATGGCACCGCAATACAGTTACTGCAACATGGAAGTTTGAATCCGGCTTTTAGATATTAAAGTTATTTTTCAGCCCGAGTTATTTTAGGCTTTCTTTCGGCTCCCCAGTTTACAGCAATTAATAGCAGAAGACACGTAAACAGAAAGATACACAATCATGAGAAACCTATAAACATTATCATTTTCTTTCCTTGTACCTGCAAAATCAATATGTCATATTAGAAAGGCCAGGCTGCAGCAAAACTGAACCTGGAGGAAGAGGTGTGCAGCGCCCCCCAGAGGCCGATTATGGGCACTTACTCAGCACAATGATTGTTAAAGCTGAAGTTCAGATGAAAATGTTCTTTTTTTAAATCTTCAGGGTGACGCAATGTTAAAGAGGAAGATAAGTCACATATTTGGCAGGTAGGGTCTTCATAACAGAAGACACGCTGGGGTTTCTGCCCGGCTGTGCCGTTCGCAGGGCAAGAGAGTTACATCATGAGGAACGCACACTGCCCGCTCAGCATTGCAGTCATCGGAAGCCCGCCCCTCAGGGGGGCGCGGCTCGCGATGATCGCAAGTACGATCTGCCTGTCCAAGATGGGCAGATCGTACGAAATTTTAATGACCTTACAACCGTCGCACAACGAAAGTCGTGCGATGGTTGTAAGGTGTATGGGCAGCTTAAGGCCTCACCTAATATTTTAGAAAACAAAAATATTGAAGCTTTTAGAAAACCTTTACTTGTGCTGCCAAATGGGAAACGAACATGTGACCTCCGGGTCTTTAATGTGATATAATAGTAACATTGTAGCAATAAATGTGTTGGTCTGGTATGTAATCCAGACACCACATCCCCATCACAGGATAAGATACCATAAAGAATTCTCATACACACAAGGGACCTTTAAGATGCCGAACTGACGTACAGATATCATAAAATAAATCATAAATCTTTCATTTTTAACAAATCTTAAAATCACATAAAAATAAATGTCAAACAATGTGTGTTTTTTTAATGATTTATTTTATGACATCTTTTTTGGCACCTTTAAAGTTTATTGTACTAATAAGAATTATTTATGGTATATTATAGAGTGATGGGAACCCTGCACACCCATCACATCACCCCTACCCCCCGCCATGTTCTAAATAAAGGTACATTGTTGCACTGAACATTTCACAGCAAAGTACACCTGTGCCCAGACTATGGACATTATTTACTAGGGATGCACCGATACTAGTATCGGTATCGGTGCTGATACAGAGTATTTGGGAGTGAACTCGTACTCGCCCAAATATTCCGGTACTTACCTTCGACAGTGGAACTTCTGGTCAGACGGAGGTTTCCCTCTCACCGGCAGTGCCAAGGGAGCATGGAGCTGGCTTCTTTTCCGAACAAGAAGCCGGGCAGTGGGTTATGACCCACTTCCCGGGTTCTTGATTGGGTAGGAAGCCAGTTTCACTTGTTGCTAGGCAGCCTTGCTCCCTAACCAATCAGGAAGCTGGGTGGCACGTAATGACCCGCCTCCCGGCTTCCTAATTAGTCAGGAAGCCAAGCTGCCTAGGAAAGGGTGAAGCCAGCTTCCTAGCCAATCAGGAAGCCGGAAGGCAGGTCATGACGTGCCGCTCAGCTTCCTGATTGGCTAGGAAGCCAGCTTCCCTTGTTGGTAGGCAGCCTGGCTTGCTGACCAATCAGGAATTCGGGCAGCACGTCATGACTCGAGTCCCGGCTTCCTGATTGGCCAGGAAGCCCCTGAAGCCGGTGTTCTTTTGCTAGAACATTGGCAATCAGGAAGCCGGGAGATGGGTCATGATCCACCACCCGACTTCCTCATAATCGGGCACGCGACACCAGTACTCGGTACTTGGTGAGTACCGAAAAAAAATACAGAAAAACCAGTATAGGTGCATCCCTATTATTTACATCCGATCCAGCAGGATACAGACTCTAGCGTTAGTTTACAACAGCTTAGAAACACCCTTCTGTGTGTTTACATTGGAGGACCGACAGTCTTCCGGGATCCGCTCTCCATAGAAAATAGCTGAGGTCTCAGTGCCTCTGCTTATAACTTGAACTGGTGGAGAAAATGAATTTCTCCACAATGCCTGCAGCTACAGAGGTCAGTGATGACTTGTTTTAAAGTGATTTTACTGCTTGTTCAGAATATGTAACTAGTGTCTTGACATGGGCACGGTTCACTTTAAAATATGTCTAAAAATATCACACTAAACATAAAGTGTATCTAATATCCTTTAAAGTGACACTAAACTCAGGTGGTAAATCTTAAAAATGAATGAAAGTACATTATCGATTAACAACAATGTATCTTATTTGTGTATCACTCGGCTGTAGATCCTCCAATCATCTCTGAATTGGTGCTGACACTGTCCTTCCTTCTGGAGGGGGGCTACTTTTGTTCCCCATGGTCCCTGTGTGTGTTGTAAAGTAGTCACCGCTCCAAGCTCGCTCCCGGGATGGACTACAATCTCAATACAAATTGGTAAACTGAACATGGGATTGTAGTCCATCATAGGAGCGAGCTTGGAGCGGTGACTACTTAACAACACACACAGGGACCCTGGGGAACAAAAGTAGCCACCCGTTTACGTTTTGGGTAGACTAGAAAAGGCCTAAAACCTGTCAGGTTGTTGTTTTTTTTTACATTGTAGACACAACAACAGGAAGTGAAATTAAATCCTTACAAAGAGAGGGAAATGCCTTCTTAGACATGTGTCACCAGAACATTGGAAGATTCCCCCTCTATTCAAAAGCGTTAAGAAATAAATTGGATGGAGTGAGAGAGGGTTAGGTCCTTTGTCATGTCGTTATTACTGTGTGTGTGTCCAGTGATAAGGTTTACCCTCTTTATTTTTCCAAGACAGCAATGGCGTCACAAGGGGGGTGCTGCCCGCACCCGGGTGTCACCATTGCAGGGGTTACACACCTAAATGACTTTGGTGTAACCCCCCTCTAAAAAGTCGGGAACTCGGTCATGGACCGAGAGCCCAACAGTGTCAGGAGAGAGGAGGGCAAAACAAATGGCAAACGCACTCATCAATTCGTTACCAGCTTTACAGCGCGGTGCACATGGAGGGGCTTTATACAGTACAAACAGCAAAAAGATTCCCAGCACACTCACCAGCCAGCATGCAAAAAAAACTTGCCTCACCGCTAAGGTTAAAAACAGAGGTTTGGATACACGTCTTCTGCAGAAAATGTGAAAGCCGCATTGCCGCGTCAAGGCACCTCTTATAGTGCGGTCCTAACTCTCTGCTTTTAACCTTAGCGGTGAGACAGGTTTTTTTTGCATGCTGGCTGGTGAGTGTGTTAGGAAACTTTTTGCTGTTTACAGGAGAGAGGAGGGGACCCGGCGACCCATACCTCATCCCGCCGGGTGAACGTCCCCTCCTCTCTCTGCCCTTGTCCATCACCATGATGCCCACTGGCAGGCATCAATCAGATGGTTGCGCATGCGCGATGACATCATTGCGCGAGGTGATGTCACGCGCACGCACGATGACGACAAAGCCCTCGAGACGCCCCTGCAAGACAGAAAGTATTGGGAATGAGATGGGATGGGAACAGGAATTGAAGGGAAATCTTCCAATGGAGACACCTGACAACATTTAAAGGAGAACTATGGGGTCAGTGTTTTTCCCCATAGTTCTCCTTAGGGTAACGGGAGGACACAAACTAGCGTCCTCCCGTCACCCTAAGCTCAGTATACCGCAAGCTACAGCTCGCGGTATACTGAGACGCCGCAGCCGGAGCGGATCCTGACATGGACGTCGAGATCCGCCCAGCTGCGTGAGTGACAGCTGGCTCTGCCTATCTAGAGGCAGAGCCAGCTGTACCCGCCCCCTCCCCCGTCCGTTCCGCCAGTCAGCGCTGGCAGATCGGAG